ATCGTTAACATGGGCATCAATTTCCCTTCGCTTGATCTGTTTACGCCAGTAGACTTTGCATTTCAACCCTTATCTGAGATAAAAATAGATGTAAGGATACATGACCTCTGAAAACAATTAAAGGTGAATATTTATACTGGGTTAGATGGAGGATAAAAGGTGGGTTGATTGTCTGAATTTTGAAACTAAGACAAGCCGAAAGTTATGAAATTTCACTTATTCTTTGAGCATGGAATATAGCTAAAAATGGAAACGGAAACAGCAGACCCATCCTAATTGGTAAAACAATTCCTCTCCAATAATGTTTCTCCGCTTATCCGAATATTGCGGACATAATTATCAATGTTGAAGGAGCCGTGGGACAAATTTAAGGCACTCCTCACATAGGAATAATCCAAGACTTGAAGGATCATTTATGCATAATGTACAATAATCATCAAATAAGATGGGTGGAATCAATTTTAAAAATTTTTTTTCTGTCTTGAGCATTAATGTGTTTTAAAAAGCCAGTCGTTTCTGCATTAACTGCAGTTAAAAATGCAGAACGTAGAAGTGCATATTTAGGAAATTAGCTGATTGGTAAATGCTTCTTACGGCTTTAAATTATATGCATTCCAAAAAGTACACAATAATTCAGCCCCCTCCCCCAGTTTAAATGGACGTTTTCCTTTTTTTTCTCTTTTTTGAAATAGTGAGGGACTGCAAGAATTTACCAATCTGAGCTTTGATTGTCAAAGGTGAGGATCTGGGTATAGTGTTGTGTTACACCCAGCGGAAAGTCGGCGACAAGGGAAGAAAAGCACCCGGTGTCCTCTCGTTCCAGAACAGACGTCCCTATGTAACTTCTAACTGCCTCCTGAAGTTATTGAAATGCGCTTGTATTTCTTAGCGTACTACCAAATGGGCGCATCCGACGAGGCCTCCGGTCAGCTTAAAGTGTATCTACCACCGAATTTAGTTTTAGTTCCATCACCGGAACAGCGGAGACCACAGAGGAGGCAGGTCTATGTAGATGCAGCACCAGACCACTCTTGTTTATTTCACTGGAGAATCAACAAAAACTCTGGTGAAAAACTTCTCTTGCAATTATGCAGCAATGTGGATATTTTTCGCGGAAAACATAACTAAATAAATTCATCATTCCGTATGCTTAAAAAGGGGTAAACGGCATTCAGTGTGTCGCTTTGTATTCCTATTTCTGCACCACAGCAGTTTTTAAATGACTCGTTTATATCAGAATCACAACAAACAAACAAACATTCCTTATCCGGACGGTGTTTGTAACACACTTTAACATGAAGGATGGTTCATGCATTCACCTGCACTAAACTTACAGAGACCCAATAGCACAGCTTTGGTGAAGCTGCTCGTATTGGCTCAGTTAAGGATAAGATACAAGAAAATATTAACTGATATTAGGGCAATATCAGTTCATATTCATTTGATAAGACACTTGATACAAGCGAGTCACTTTTGTACTGGTAGTATAACTGTTAAATAAAATAGTAAAAACTTTATATAAATTTTACCATCAATGTCAACCCATTTCTTCATTTCTGAAAGCCTGTTACACCAACTGCAATAACGACCAGATTGTCTCCCACGATGTTCGGAAGCTAAAAAGGACAGATACAGTAGCTTTACCCCAGATTAAAAACACAAATTAGCACACGCAACGCGAGTTCTTCGTGTCTTGTACTTAATAACAAGCGGGAGGCTAGATGGCGCTGGTTCGGTACGTCTTGACTTACAATAAGTAACCATTTCATCACATAACTGCCGATTTATCTCCGTCTTCCTTCCTTCTTACGTTTTTCCTAGCATGCATCTTGCGAGGCGTACGGCTGAGTTGTACAACTTTTTCTAACACTGCTCGCGCGATCATGCTCGGCCCTCGCATGAGAAATTTTTTGTTCATAACATTTTTCGATAACACCGCATCCGGGGCCGTATAGATCTCTTGGAAAATAAACAAATACGACAGCTCTAAATTCCTGTTCAAATGCACAAAATTAAGCAAAAATAGACACTACATATCGTTTATTAACATATCGTAAATATGTTTCACAGCTTAACATAGATTCCTCCGTACCTCTTCTCGAATCGCAAATATGAGCAAATACTTTCTTTGTTCCTTCATTGATTTCTTTCCAACAAACTCCCTCCTAGCTTCATTTTTATCTTTCATGTGTTCAGCAAACTTCTGATTATCTCTGTAATCCTCTTCCTCGCCTTTTGATTGTATCCTGGAATACAAAGAAAATGAGTCACCTTTGCTTCGCTAACTTTGTAAACCTTACAAGTTGTCATAATTGTGAGTATTTGTCGCGGTAGAATAGATTTACGAGGTTTACAAACGAGCAAGTTTGCTCTAAAATTCCAAATAGCGTAAAACAGCACGACACTAACACCTTTTGCTCGTTTTTATTTCATTTTCTTTTCTGTTCTTTTTTTCAATAACAAAGTTCTCACATGAAATGTTTTAAAATAAAGTCGAAATTCAAATTCCAACATACCTCTTCTTCCTCTGTTTAACACCCAGAATGTTGCCAAGTTTTGTTCCTGCCGGTTCCTGGTGCTTGTGTTGTAACTTCTGTTGTTCTTTCTGTTCTCGGTGAACACGTACAGCATGACAATCGTTTTCTTGACGTGGAATCCTGCAAAAAAGACGAGGTTGGTAATGTACCGTAAAGATTCAATTTAGTTCCCAAGGCGTTTATTTACTTTAGTTACCTAAAGAGAGATCACTTATACGAAAAAGAGGTCTAATTAGGAACAGGGCGCCTATCATTTTTTAAGAATCTACGAAACAAAGCTTGGACGTTTATTCGAAAAGGATCAGAAAACTGGAAAACGGACCAGTTGTCCTTGGATTCTTTCGATTATTGGAATGAGGGTGTTCACCCAATAACGGCGCTTATTAGGATAGGGGCGTTTTTAAGAAAAATTAACTCGAGGGGGCGTGTATTGGAAGGAAGGCGCCAAATCGAATCATTACGGTATTTATAATATCTTTGGGTTCAAATCGAGGAGAAGATTTCAATTCGAAAAAACTTTTGAATTAAGCAGGTCCCAATACGGTCCGCTGAATTGACCAATCATAGTGCACCTACTAACTATAATAGAATACCTTGACTAAAATGACTGGTTCTGGTTTCTCTGTTAAGACAATGTCTCCATCATGAAATGGGGGCACTATGGCATGCACCAATAGGTGAAATTTCGCTTTTTGATCATCCTCCAAGTCTTCATCAACATTCTGCACCACACCACTTATTAACGTCATGTTGAACTCCCACAGGTAATTATCCTGAATAAAAATGTTTTTAATTGGAATATCACTAGGCACATTCAGATGGTAGGTACAAGAATGTACATAACACATGCAGCCTTTTAGTGAAAGCTATTTTATTTTAAGATGTGGTAATGAAGAGTCGCAAACTATAAATTCTCTGGGATATGGCTGGGGATATCTTTGGAAACAACATAAACGTACAACGAAGACGTCTCGGTGACTAGAATTCTGACCAACCTATTTTTGTCATGTATGCTGATGAGCTTAAAAAGCCAATATATAATAGGAAAAATCTTTTTTAACAATAATGAGCTTCGACAATGCTACTTTTTAATCTTAAATTACCACAATAAAACCGACATTCCCTGAAAAAATTATAGCAATACACCTTCTATTTTTCGTGTAATGTAAAGTTAACTTTCATTTTTATATCAAACGTGGCCAGTCAAATAAACAATAGCAAGCTTGTAATATAAACTCGACTAAATGAGACAGCGGCACTGCTGGCTAAAACTTTATTAACCACTTAACACCCACGAGTTTGCCGAAAGAAGGTTTCTTGTGTTGCCACCGACTCAGTTGCGTGGCTAACTTTGGAGATATTAGGCCATCCCGGCCTAAATACATTGCCGATACAAGGAAAAGCTCCACACTGTTTCCACAAGCGTATAACTAGCGCATTCTTTTTGCAGAAATACTACCAAATAACTTCACATTGCCCATATTTAAAAAAAAGCATTTGGCACTCGGTGTACATAAGCCATTGACTTTTTATAGTCAGATTCGGTCCAATTTTTGCATCACCGCAGTTTTTAAATGACTTGTTTCTATCTTAATCACAACATACAAACAATCCTTCTCCGCACAAGACTTACAGTTTTGGTGAAGCTGCCAGTATCGGCTCAGTTAAAGAGAGGATACAAGAAAACATCAACTGATATTAGAACAATAGTAATTGATATTCACTTCAGGAGACACTTGCTACAAGTGAGTCACTTTCTATAGTGTTTTGTACTTGTGGTACAACTGTTAAATAAAATAGTAAAAACTTTATGTAAACTTTAGCATCAATGTCAACCCATTTCTTTATTTCTGAAAGGTTACCGCCCTACATCTTTCCCTCTGCCATCCCTTTTCTACTTCAACTTGAGAACGTTTTCTTTTTCTCTTCCAGGCGAGCACACCATTTTAGGAAAAGAAAAAGCACACATAACTACGTCGATCAAGTAATGGCACTCTGGCTAGACTTTTTTCATAACAGCCGCCTTGTATTACACGAAGGTTGGTTAGTGTTTAAATATAAATGAGAACATGTGGTCAAAAAAATACATTGCCGTCGTCCATAAGAGTACAATCTAACTTAAACTCTTACCGTTAATCTTGAGCACTATAACAATCTGTCATCATTTGCGCTGGATGAGCATGCGCCTTTGACAAGCAGTCCTTAAGTTGTATAATACGACAACCACCCTGACTTTCTTGTAAAGAGATTGCTACCTCTGGTCACCAATGCACAGAACTCAGTTTACGCGAAAAAATCCAGGCTAACCACTGAGACATTAGGTGTAGTTTTTCTCACCTCGGAAGTGACATCCTTAAATCGAATGGCGAAACCAGCTTCTTCACCAAGTTTACAGCTCAACTCTTCCTTGAAGCACTTAGCAACTGACATGGCAGCCACTCGACGGGGTCTGTGTACAACCAGTCAGTCCAGTCCATTTGTGTATTCATTCTCATGCATGCACTAGAAGAAAAGAAAGTCTAGGATTGCCTCACATGAATAAGCAGCAACAATAACAACAACCGAGAGAAACATACACCTCACTGTGCAGCCGTAGCGGTGACAAAGGGAGAAGGTTACATGGCCACACGGAGATAACTAATCTCCACGCAGAAATACCAAATTTCGACACTGTTATTTTGTTATTACATACAACCCAAGCAAAGAAAGATTATTTATTTTACAGGAGACAATAAGGGTCAAAATTTCATTTTCAGACGTCAACTCGTTATGCGTAACCTCACAACGGCGCTGTTTTCCTGTCGAGCGATTCACTTTTCTACTTACCTGTGTAAGCTGTGTTGCTTTTTCCAAAGCCTGTTTCACCAACTACAATAACATGATTGTCTCCCGCGATTTTCAGAAGCTGAAAAGAACAGGTACGGTAGTTTTACACCAGATTAAAAACAAATTCGCATACGCAACGTGGGTTCTACATGTCGTGTACTTAATAACAAAGTGGAAAGGGCTAGATGGCGTTGAGTCGGTACGTTTTGACCTACAATAAGTAACCATTTCATTTCATCATTATCTCCCTCTTCCTTCCTTCTTACGTTTTCCTAGATGCATCTTACGAGGCAGACGGCTGAGTTGTACAACTTTTTCTAACACTGCTCCCACGAGCGAGCATCCAAGGCCGTATGGGTCTCCTGGAAAATAAACAAATACGACAGCTCTAAATTCCTGTTCAAATGCACAAAATTAAGCAAAAACAGACACTACATATCGTTTATTTACATATCGTAGAGATCTTTCACAGCTTAACATAGATTCCTTCGTACCTCTTTTCGAATTGCAAAAATGGGCAAATACTCTCTTTGTTCCTTGACTGATTTCTTCCCAACAAACTCCCTCCTGGCTTCATTTTTATCTTTCATGAGTTCAGCAAACTTCTGATTATCTCTGTAATCCTCTTCCTCGTCTTCTTTTGTATCCTGGAAGACAAAGAAAATGAGTCACCTTTGCTTTACTCACTTCGTAAACCTTACAAGTTATCGTAATAAATTGTGAGTATTTGTCGCAGTAGGATGGATTTACGAGGTTAACAAACGAGTAAGTTTGCTCTGAAATTCCAAATAGCGTAAAACAGCACGACACTAACACCTTTTGCTCGTTCTTTTTATCTTTTTTCAATAACAAAGTTCTCACATGAAATGTTTTAAAATAAAGTCGAAATTCAAATTCCAACATACCTCTTCTTCCTCCTGTTTAACACCCAGAATGTTGCCAAGTTTTGTTCCCGCCAGTTCTTAGTGCTTGTGTTGCGACTTCTGTCGTTCTTTCTGTTCTCGGTGAACACGTACAACATGACAACCTTTACTTGAAATCATAACCATATCTGACGTGGAATCCTGCAAAAAATATGAGGTTGGTAATGTACCGTAACGATTCAATTTAGCTATCAGGGTGCTTATTTACTTAAGTTACCTAAATGGAGGCCGCTGAAACGAATAAGAGCTCTTACCAGGAATAGGGCGCTCATCCTTTTTTAGAAACAGTAGAATGTGCAAAACAAAGCTTTAATGTTTATTTGAAAGGATCAGGAAACTGGAAAACGGACTAGTTGTCCATGGATCCTTCCCGACAAACTAATTATCACAAAATTTTTAGACGAGATCAATTGGCACACACTTGAACGTAATAGTTGAGGGATTTTTGAGTGGGGCATTGTCAACTTGCCATTCCCCATCCCTATCCCCCACCATTCCCTATAATTTTATTACAAACGTGGCCAGGCAAATAAACGATCGCAAGCTTGTAATATTTACTCGCCTAAAATTTTATTAACCACTTTACACCCATGAGTTTGCCGAAAGGTTTCTCGTGTTGCCAGCGACTCACTTGTCTGGCTAAGTTTGGTGGAATTAGGCCATCCCGGCCTAAATACATCGCCAATATAAGGAAAAGCTCCACACTGTTTTCACAAGAGTATAACTAGCGCATTCCTTTTGTTGAAATACTACTAAATAAATTCACATTGCTTCTGTCTAAAAATAAGTTATTGGCACTCGGTGTACATAAGCCATTGACTTTTTTATAGCCAGATTATGTCTGATTTCTACAGCACAGCAGTTTTTAAATGACTCTTCTATTTTAGTCACAACAAACAAACAGTCCTTCTCCGGGCCGGTTTTTGTAACACACTTTAACATGAAGGATACTTCATGCATTCTCCCGCACTAGACTTACAGAGACCCAATATCACAGCTTTGATGAAGCTGCTTGTATTGGCTCAGTTGGGGATAAGATACAAGAAAATATCAACTGATATCAGGAGAATATCAGTCAATATTCTCTTGATGAGAGGCTTCATGCAAGTGAGTCACTTTCTATAGTGTTCTGTACTGGTGGTATGACTGTTAAATAAAATAGTTAAAACTTCACATAAATTCTACCATCAATGTCAACCCATTTCTTTATTTCTGAAAGGTTACCGCCTTACATCATTCCCTTACATTCATTACATCATCTGCTTCAACTTGACGACTTTTTCTTTCTCTCTTCCAGGCGAGCACACCATTCTATGAAAAGAAAAAGTACACATAACTACGTCGAACAAGTAATAGCATTCTGGTTAGACCATCCCTTTTCATAACAGCCGCATTGTATTACTGGAAGATTGGTTAGTGTTTAAATATATATGAGAACATGTGGCCAAAAGAAATACATGTCCCAGGTAACGTAAATTTTCGTGATTTCAAAGCTTTTTGTCGAAATTTATGTCTATACTATCCAGTCAAAGTTGAGGACCCTACAACGCCAATATTTCAGAAGAACGAACTCCTCACTTTATCTCCACCGTGACTGGAAAGGAAGAACCAACAAACTCAACTCTTCAGACAAGCCTGCTCGACACGTATAGCCTTATCTTTCATACTGAGCGCTTGTCAAGGGGCCGTTTTTTCTCCACAGTGAAGGAAGTCACAGAGAATTTAAGTTTACGAGTTACCAAGTGAATGACACCAGCCCGCCGTCCTTTTCCTTTTCGTTTTTGGCGGTTTCCTGCAGTAGTATTCATATTGCATTTTAATTTTTTCCCTTTACAGATAGAGTCGTATTATGGTTAGTAAAGGGATTTTTTTATTCGATATCAATAATCATTGTACTACTCACTTGTCTTTTATCAGGTCCGATAAAAGCTGTAGCTCACCCTGCTGCATGTCGTGTTTGGATTTGGCAGCATCGTTAACATGGACCGTCATGTCCCCTCTCGGCTTAATCTCTTTACGCCCATACACTTTGAACTGTAAAACTTATTGGACATGAATGGAGGGGTAAGGATTGATGACCTATGAAAACACAAATAAAGGTGAACATTTTTATTGGGTGAAATGAAGGGGAAAAATTGAAATTGACTATTATTGACCATTAACACTCCAGTCTTAGGATTAGGGTTTGGGTTAGTAAGTGCTCCCTATAAAAATTTTTGATATATTTGTACACGACTGGCGGTAATATCGCGATCTGATTGGCCAATTTGCCGTTTTTGACAAGAGTACAGACAAAATTGCTCGCGTCAACGTGTCACACAATGGTCACGCAGGAGGACCGTTTTATTCGATGTCGATATGGTGGTGACGTCAATATTTGTTGCGGACTCGCTTCGCTTTGCCTTGTGACCACTGTGACGACGAATATCGTTTTCGATAAATTATAGACTACGCTTAATCACTGTCGATTTGTCAAATATACTTGGGCGAGCATGTATAAGAGAAGTCACTTGGAATACATGCTCCCTTCATTCACTGCTTCTATGTAAATTGTAACTTCCTTCAGCCATTGATTTATATTATTACCCGTTCGGACACACGCGCACTTTTATTGAAAAAAAACAAACAAACAAACAAATAATAATCAAAAACATCATAAGAAATAGTGGAATAGTGGTGAATTGCGCCCAGGGAGACGAGAGCTGCGTGATAATCTTCGAAATAAGAGAAAACAGAACAAAGAGGTTGTTAAACGAACGCGTCTAAAAGCCGGAAAAAGGTGGCACCGATTACCTGCACAAACCTTACGTTGGGTCTGAAAAGCCAAAGTCCAAACGTATGCTGCACGTAACCTTTAACAAAATACTCCATAAACTGTTCAAGTGGAGGGATAGTCACTTTCACGGTCAGTTTCTTGGATATAGGTACAGGAAGGGAAGAGCCATTACTTTCCTCAAAAATTTGTTGACATCGTCCTTCGATTGATGAGCCGGCTGGAATCTAAGCTCTTGAATACATCAATAGTAAAAGTAAATCAGGGCATCTTGCGCAATTGACAACATTACATGTACCTTAATTACAGAAGACCTCTATCAATTTTTTTCGCAGCAGGGGTGTTATCTATTCTTTAGGTGCACTGAGCTTTACCTAAAGTCAACGCTTTGCAAACCAGTAGCCTAAGAGGTCTATAACCATTCGAGTTATGAGTTATCTTCAACTTAAGCGTACCATTCTCCACAGCGCTTGGGTTCAGTGAAACAAACATCCTTGAAGTGCTAGGTCAGACATTAAATGCCAGAAAACTGACCACAGCCTGCTTCAAAAATCCAACACCACCTTCTTGACCGTGGTGAAGAAGAGAGTAGATCAAGAACTGATCGAAGCTTCTACAAAAAGGAGAAAAAAGTTTTAAACTCACCTTTAAGGAAAATCAGATTTTCCATACTCGATGATCATTCTTACTAAAAATATAACATTTAAAGTTAAAAGCTTTGTAGTTCAACGTTCGATAATTAAGTAAATACTCTGATCTTCTACCACCTAGCGGAAATTTCGATATTTCAACCCGTTTTTATGAACATGAACAGGAAGGAAACTTGCTTGGTTAGTTTACTTCTTTTTAAAAATGCATTTATGAAGAAAAGCTGCGTAAATGGAATGCGGCAAGGTTTAAAGGTAACGTCAGCGTACCAGGTCGTCGCTGGGAAAAGTTGGCCAAGAAGCTGAGGTACTGCTTGGATCTGACGTGGATGTCAGCCTGCAGAAAATTTAGTGGTATGTATTCCTGGTCCAGTTCGAAACCAAGGTCTATGGACCGTACCATATTTTCGCACCAAATGAAGAGTTTCACCTGCCTTTAGTAACTTGTTAAAGTTAATGAACGCAGTTATCGTGACGTAACATGCACAAAAAAGGTACTACCCGCAAATAACCTCAGATCGGTTACTCAAAAATCACAAATTATAAAAATTACAAAATCCGATGTCCCTTGGATTTGATCCCATTTTCTCTATCATTTATTGTCGCCTGACCCAAAGTCCATTAATGCGAACTCCCCGTCAACTCAAACTAATTTTACTTTCACATAGCTCAAAGTTACCCGTTCTCAATCCATGGTCATTCGTCAGAATTTCTTGGATTATGGCGGCTAAAACAATTTAAAATTCCGTATCGCTTACGGACAGTAACGTTTAAAACTTTTCTAGACAGGGAAGAAAACGAAATTAAGAAAAGAAAAACCGAAAGTTACGTATTCAGTGGCTGTGGTAATGGCATTTCTCTTCGCTGAGATCGAAAATCGACTGTCAGAAGATTTGCCACAGGCCGATTTTGGCCGTGTACCTGAAAGATTTCTGCTTTCGGTAAGGACCAAGTCAAAGCTGAGATTTTGCAAGTTGAAAACTACGCCCATTGTTCGTTTTTGTAATAATTCGACGCATTTTTTCATCTTGAGTCCTAGCGCCAACGCACTTCATAATTTTTTTGGGGAGGATTGTCGATCTTTTTATTTCATTCGTTTATAAAGTTGACTTTTCTCGCCAGTATTGTGTTCATATGACAAGCAAAATAGAGAAACTTCATATCCACGCGCGTCCATGTATTAATCTCTGATGAAACAAATCAATAATTGACAAAAGTGAAGGAATATCAGTTGTGAATGAACAGCA